AACTGGAATCCAAATAGATTCCTTTGCTATTACAGAATAAATTTAAAAATCGACTGTGAAAGCCTGTCTGGTGTTTTGTTTTCCAATAGCGTATACATGAAGCAAAGTTTAGCATCATTAAAAAATAATCAACAGGCACCAATTGACATCTATGAACGTGTCACATGTTCAGAAGTAAGTGAAGCACTTTCGCAAAAACCCGTTTTTTATCTCTTAAAGTCAAATTTTTAAAATTAACAGAATTTGATAAGCAATGCATTGCTAATATTATTTTATTACCAGATATTTACTTAATAGTTGAACAGCATCACGGTAGCATCCTTCACATGCAAAATCGTGTCGCAACTTGAGTTTTTTTATGGAGCATACATCAAGAGCACCAAAAAGGAAAAAAGGCCGAATCAAATCTGTGCCACTTCCTACTACAATTTATGCCTCGATACAAATAAAAGCCCAAATATTGTTTAAAATAAAATAGGAAAAATATTTAAATAAATCTGCATCAAATCAAAAAACAAAGATTTTTGCCGAAATTGACTACATGAGGGGCAATTACCAGTTCTGTCATCAATAATACTACAGCTAAACCTAGCATAGTAAAAATTAAACCTATTTAACGACATGCGTCAATGCTTGATTTTTGTTAAATATATTTTCAAGAATATGCATTTGACACTGTTCACTAAGTGACGGAAAAATCATTTACACGACATTGACAAGAGTTAATTATATTAAAAATTATCACACAGCAATGACGGGAACCATAATTTTCTCAGCAAATTAACGAATTGTTGTATTAAATTCCAAATTATCTTTTTACTAAGCTAACGTCCTTAGTATAAAATCATAAGATATATAAAGCAATGCGACATAATATCATAAATAGAAAAAAATCTTGAAATGAATTTAACGGACAGGTTTTAACAGCATAAATGTGCAAAATACGAGAGATTCTGGCATTATTGTGAACAGCAACACGAAATCTTACCGAACCCAACAAGAATGCACACATATCCCAAAAGACGCTGATCAAAAACCACGCGCATTTGTCCACAACTTTTCAAAAAATCGCCAACTAAAAGTTCTTGAGGCAAAGACCGATTGATATTGATTGATGCATATAAACAAACAGTTATTTAATTTGTCCTTAAAGGCTATTTTTGTATCCTAATTTTAATGCACTTAAAAAAATCTAAAATCGAAATTCCGCTTCTATTAAAGCAACAGAAATTGTTCTTGATTTATTTCAAGAAACGCCTTCTTGGTTTTACATAAATTTGAAAAACTTCAATCAACAAATTTAGCAATTTTTTTTTGAAGACTAGCTACTTTTAAATGAAAATTGAAAAATGAAAAATGAAAGCTTAATCACTTAAAATGTCAAGACATTCATAAATTAATCGACTGATAAAACCGCGGTGCGAATATGAAAAGAATTTCTTATAAATACGGATTGCAACTGTTACTAAACGTCAGTTATCCTGCTGTAAATAAGCTGTGATTAGTTGCGCGCAAATAGTTATTGCTTCTTTTCAGATGTAGGGCTCATGACCGTTAATTATTTTCCTAATTATTTCAAAAAGTCTTCAAATTTTGGCGCAAGCTGTGCATTCCAAAGAGGTGTGCCTTATGAGAAATGTTTATTTCGTGTGTAATTGAAAAGCTTACACAGATATTTGATTAAGTCTGTCCGATGCCTTCGAATTTTGAAGGAAATTTATTTATCAGAAAAGCAGTAGAATTGAAATGGTACAATGATCATTGACTCGGTTACTTCAGCAAAACTTGAATTAAATTTGTTCTACACATTTAACTTGCTTATGTTCATTAAAACTATTTTTGCTGTAAATCTCGTTGATTCACACTCTTTATTCTGGTTGCCCCATTCTCTGAACCTCAACTCACCCCTCATTGCCACGAACGAACATGCGAGATTATCAATGCATTTTTATTGGCATTAGCCTAGGTCTCGATGTGAGCGCATTGATGATTCGCATTGTTTCACGATTCTGGGCTATAAAAACACTCGAGACGCATTATAAAGCCACAACACAGTGGCACTAAACAGATTGAACACTGAATGAAGCAGTTGTGTCCCGTGCTCTTCGGTTGTTTTAATCATTGTGGTTAGGAGGGTGGCGTAATTGTGCCAGATTAGACTCCTTGGCCCTAATGTGATTTAAGGCCGCATGCTGGACCCCATTACATGGTTTTTAAATTGGCCGAGACAAGTCAATTAAAATTTGAAGACGCTTCTACAGGAATTATACTGTTAGATTCCAGTTACCTTCGGACATTAAAATCTTGTACGAAATTTTTTTAAAAGAAAATCATTGTATAGTTGCAAAATCGCTTTTAAAAAATTATTAAATGTGTCCTAAATGAAGGATAGTACGCACTGCCTATTTTCGGCAAGTAGCCAAGCACTCCTTGAGACGCGAAATCGAAGGATGCGATATTTTTTGTAACCAAAGATTTTGTAATAATGTTGTAGCCGTTTCACTTTTACAAAAATCTTTTAGTGCTTAAAATCCTTTGTGACCACTTAGATTTGCTTAATTTTCAAGTAATCTGGGCTCCTGGTTCTTTGTTTAGTTTTTCTAGTATAAAACACTAACCAAAACCATCAAAATTATGAACCTTAGTCCTTTATTTTTAGGAAACATTTCAGGGCCTAATTTGAACGATTTTTCAAACCAAAAATAATGTAACAAATGAGAAGTTTTTTTACACAACAAGGCATGTAGGGCTTATACAGACTAGACGGATTTATTTAGAAATCATCGGATGGGCATGACGATTTCGACCTTAATTTCAGTCCATGAAAATCGTCATATTTGTCCATTCTGTAGGCAAAAAATTAGCAATGCTAACTTCCTCCCCAATCAAACTGGAGCTCTGTCAAACTGAGGTTTACGATTTGTGTCTATGATTTATTTGCCTTGGAATTTAGCTGATCTAATGTATATAAGAATCATATTTTTTTCTTATAATCACCGATTCTAGGATGAAATGCCTAACAATTCGTATATTTTCGCAATTCCGTGAATCCTCATGTCCACCGAGAAATTCGGTTATCGTTTTTTGTGAATTAATGACCAATGTTATGTTCAAAATCAGTTTGCTTTTCACATTCTACCACAACTCAGTGTGAGATGGCGAAGGAACTGATTTTCTTTAAATGTGGGATTAGGCATATTTCAACTAAGTCCTGCGGAAAAAAGCACCTTTTTTAAATATTAAGGGAAAACAACATGTTGTCGTCACCGAATATGGTACGATTCGCTCCTAGGCGATATCACTGAATCAAGCGAAGTTATTTTACATCAATGAACAGAATGGCTACCACGGAACAATGGTGGCCTCGAGGTGATGTAACTAAACGAAACTGGCGCCGATTTAGATATTTCAAAGCACACTGCTTAAAAGCCTCCACTGCCTAATGACCACAAATTATAATTACAGGCGATTATAACCACCAATCGTTGCGAGGATTTTCCTGCCCGTGGTAGGCATCAGTGCACAACATTTACGCATCTACTATCCAATTTTCGCTGTTAAAATTGGTAAGCGTTGGAAGAGCAGAAGCAGTTTTGGTGAGGCGTTTAGTGTTTAAGAGCGTTCGTTTGTTCCGCTTGCAAAGCACTCTGACACCAAGAGATTAAAAACGGATTAAATGCTACATTCGCGAGTGTTATATCAGAAGTACACTCTCGTAGACCTGCGTTGACGATACTGAAAATCTTAGCGTGAATAGCCGTGAGCTGCACTCTACTTAAAGTCAATTACGCCTACGTACATTACCGCAATGGGAATAACTCAGATCCTGGCTTATGTTTGCACGTCAATCGACAATTCAACGATAAAATATCAATTAAGTCTCATAAATCAGAGTTCTCGTGGAAACCTAGGTTCAACATGGCGTAATCGCTTGGAAGCATTCTGCGTCATCCCTGCCACACTAATAGACCGGGGGGTGTTGCTTTCAAACGAAGAATCCTTGACCCCAATCGCCATTTTTTCATGGAACAATGCACCTGGGCGCCTTGGATCCCATACTCAATGCCATTTGAGCCAAATGTTAATTTTTCCAGCCTTCCGATTTATTACTTGTGGCTTCAACCGTCTCCGGTTCTGGCCTCGTAGTCTACAGAGGCAGCACACAACAACCCCATTTCACTCAGTTTTCCAAAATAATCAGCTTACGAGCGGCGATGAGTTATAGACCACGCCGCCTCACCTCATGTACAAATAGGCGTGTGCGCGCGCACGCTAACTTCCACCTCGGACGCGGCTTGTGATTGGTTCCCCGCCAGTTCATCGTGGGGAGGGGCATCACGTACGCACGAACGATCACGTGACGCGAAGCCGCACGCCGACAGCCCGAACAGGGAACCAGCTGAGGTCATCGCCGTAGTTTTGCCATGCACTAGGGTGCTCCCGTTGAGGCTGCTAGGTATTTCGACAATGGCTATCCCGACACAATGACGCCTGCCCTAGCACCACGAAACCCGAGACACGGACATAGCTGTGCACAATTTTGGCGTGGTCCGACGACCCCCAACTACTGGGCCTTGATATTCGCCGACTTGTGAAATCACGTTAAAACCACACTTGCCAAAGTAACTGTAACACCGCTTACGAATCCGCCTGTACCTCTAATAGGAATAAGTTCGATAACGGAAGTTGATAACAAAAACCGCTTCATTGCCAGCTAGTGAAATGCATACATTTCGAGTAATAAGTAGTGGAGGTTGGCATTGAGTAGTATTTGGGGATGGTCTCAACCAACACGAGGGTAAAGTTCAGGCATAAGGGTGGGGTGGGGATGGTATCTCTATTTCGTGCACACACCGAATGCTGGAGCACAGGACGTCATCTTCTTCGTCAAAATAAAACACCTGGCAATTCGGCAGAGCACATAAAACACTGTTCAACGAGGATCGGAAGGGTTAACTATACACAGGGCCGAGGCATTACAAAACACGGGAAATCAGTCTCTATACAGCGGCAATTAGCTCTGGCTTAGGAGGGGGAGAGGGCGGTTGCGGCTGAGACGCTTCCTTAATAGCCTCCTTCGGATCAGATTCCTTTCGCTGCTCCTTCTTGCGTTTTGTCTTCATCGACGGACTGAGGAGTTGGGCTACATGTTCAGGGGAGGGGATTGGCGGCAGGAGGTCACAAACGGCGGCCGAGTGCCGATCTCTCTGGGGAAGGTTCAAAAGACAACCGGACAGAAGCTGTGCGACTGTTGCGTCCAGCACCCTCGAGGTTGCTAACCCAAGAACCCTGAGTTCAAGCTCAGGGGAGAAACGGCTTATACCAAATGGGTTTGCGGCCAGACGCTCCAGTAACGCCCCAGCTCGCCGCAAAAGCTCCAGAGACGTCCCCATCAACTCCGGTTGTTCCTGTAAAGCCTGCACACCATACTGTTCGATAACACGCCGCGTTTTTGCCTCCGTTACCTCTATGAAGGAGATAAGGCCGGCGATCGGGCAGGGCTTGGCCTGTGCAATCATCGACAGCCCATACGTAAAGGCGTTGTTCCCATCAAATTGCTGTTGGGAGATATTCACCGGTGGCTCCGATAGGTAGTGAAGAGTAGAGAGGGCAAGCTCTCGAGTCACTTGATCTTCTGGCAGAGCTAGCCACGAGGCGAGACGGTCAAATAGGCGACTAGCACACTCATTATCCATGGTTGCCAGGAGCATGGAAACATTTGAGTCGTTCACGGAGAGACGATTGAGCGCTTCAAGGGCCAACCGTCCTGGTGAGATGACTCGGTGTCCGGGAAGAGGGTCGGTGGCGGCCGCGGTCTGGCACGTAGCCCAGTGAAGGAGGCCTTCTAGCAGAGGACGCACGATCGATTCGTGAAGTGGAAGGCATTGCAGGTGACCGGAAATGTTTACCAGAAGTACGAGGATGTTTTCACAGAGTTCATCTAGCCAGGGCATCCACCACGCCGAATGGGAATAAAACCTCGCTGCATGGTCCTCCACACAGGCCCAGTCAGCATCACTTCCCTCAAAGTGTGTGTGTGCGATTGTTAGCAAACGGCCAGCAAGTGCAAGCAGAGCCTTGTGATTGGAGAGCACTCTCTCGCCAGTAGGAAGAAAGGAAAGATTTCTCAAGACAGTTGACACACAAAGACAGCGAAGTGCGAAGTCCTCAGCTCTTCTCGAGGTGATGTCCACAGGCCAAAGGGCTAGATCTCCGCGGCGAATAATTTCGGACCGAGCACGGAGCGGACAGTAGCCGCGGGAATCTGTCATCAGACGATGGCTATTCAATTCGCTATCTTCTTCTTCGAGCGCTGACGAGGCTTCTTTGTCGCCTACCACTGTGGGAACTGGCTCAAATTTCTGGGGTGACAGGACAGGAAGGGAAGACGAGGAGGAGGAGCGGGTTCGCTTCGCCTGCGTTTCGGAAGAGACCCCACCGGGGGAAAGTGACCGCTTTTTCCCGCTAGAAGCGCCACCAGCGCTCCCTGGATGAGGGAGGATGTAGCAGGTAGAATCGGAGCCCCCGCGTACAAAGAGTTCCCGCATGGAAGGAGGCCGGGGAGAACCAGGGGGAGACGTGGGTTCCGCCGCCAAGTCTGCAGGCAAGAGGACAGGCGGAGGCGACTCCTTTCCCTCCAGTAGCTCATCCAGCGCGAAAAGCGCCAGTCGTCGCATGTTAGAAGAGGCCTCGGGACCGGAGAGATTGTTGACAATCAAGGAAAAGTGCTTCGGCACCATCGGTAGAGAAAACGTTTGGCCCGCTTCGAACATTGCTAGATGTTCCGCGAGGATGGGAGTAGCCGAACCCCGGCCACGACCCCGCTTCGCCAACGGCCCACCCGATTTCTCCAAATTACTTTCCACAGATGGTGTTTTGGGCAACTTCGGAGTCACCGACTTCAGTAAAAGACGACCATTTTTTCCGGAACCTTGAAGCAGCTGCCGGATTGCTTCCTGAAGCGCGCTTACTGAGACACCCTTGGAATTGGCAATCGAAGCAATTTCACGTTCTAGGCTAAGTAACCCATTAGCAGGCGGTGGCTGACTGCGCATACGAATGCATCTCCGCCTGCTGGATACTTCAGCGAGTAGTTCAACGAAGAAATTGTCATGATTGGTGGCCTTTGAAGGCGTCTGGAGGTCAGGAAGCGAAGGGTCAATAGACATGGTGCCTCGTGACAACGGTTGCCCCTCCTGGTCGAGGTGGATAGGAAGCTCAAGATCGGCGGCCAGACGATGTTGAGGAAAGAGTTCGTTGGCGGAGTGCCGGAGGTGGTCGGTGAGTGCCGTGACCAGGTTTGTAAGGGTCGGCGAGGTGGACGACCCCACAACTGCCGATTGCTGAGTGGGTGGCGAGAAATAGGACTCCAGTGCATTGGGATCGTCGCGGAGAACTATGTTGAGTGCATTCAAGGCCCAGGTTGTCTCACTGGGGAGTCCGCAACGAAGCGCCATCACCAATTTCGACGCGGTTAACGGGCCTGAAATCCGAAAGCCACATCACTGAGTGGGAACCCGACGTGAAGGCACACATCTATTAAAGTGGGTCGTGTCGGAAAACAAATTTATGCCTACGCGCGAGAAACACAGGCACGTGCACACAATCGTAGGTCGCTCACATCTGCGAACATCCAAGCTACCCCCGAGTGGAGTTATACGGTAGATTTATTGCCGAATTTCAGACCCATCTCTAGTAAAATGCAGCCAAAGTTCCCCTTATCATTCGTATGAACAATAGAGATCACTTAAAGCAGTATCGCAGCAAAAACAGGTACGTAAATTCGGAGACTAGAGATTACGTTGAGCAAACACGCACTTATGAAAGTCACTCAGGTAAAGTTCAGTAGAGATATATCGACAACGTAAAAGCAAAATGTGCACTCAAACACCTAGTTAACTAGTCACAAAACCCCGATAAAATGTAACCAAATTTAATTCGATAAAAGCCTAACACTTTGAAACAAGACATGCGTGTGTCAAGAGCAGGTGATTGAAGTAGTCGTGCTGGCTACAAATGCTGCTGCGAAAAAGTACATCGAATATGAGAAGAAGGAGATCGAAAACTGTTTTGTCTGAAAAGCTTACAAGTACCGCTGATTGCTCCAAAACTTCTTTAACACAGTAACTCAGATGACCTTATCCGAAAGAAGAAGAGCCGACAATTGCTTCGATTCTAAGTTGCATGTTCTCAAGGATCTGCCAACACTGATTAGTATCAGCAAGTCTAAATGTTGGCATAAATGTATCAACCGAAAATATGGCGCATTGGGTGCTCTTGAGGTGGAAGCAAACCGTAAACCCCTACAGTAGCGATAATCGGCAAATTTGCTGCGTTGGTAGATTTAGCAGCACCAGCCATTTATTCTACAAACTGTGTCCATGGACGATTTTGAGGAATGTGGTTATAATAGGACCTAAATGTCGACAATAAACCAGTTTGACTTTAACGACTGAGTGAGACCGACGCCTATACAACGTACTAGTTTTATTTTGAAACCAAGTTGTGGAGAAATGTAATTAAATAAATAATAATAACGTTCCTATCAACTTGACCAACATATATCCACTAACAATACCTCAGTAAAGCCATCACGTGTAGAGCGCACTACGTCGAGGTTATCAGTCGACCAAAGCTTGCGCTTTTACCGAGGGATAAATCTTTCCGGAAGAATATTGTGACACTATTTTCAGGTTGGATGATCGATGTAGTGACGAGTGAAAAGAAGCAGAATTTCCCATTGTTCGAACTTCCAAAAAATTAAGCAAGCAGTTTTCAAACGGACTTCTGCGGAAAATATTGTGGGTGCGACGCAAAATCTTAATGATTGGGTGGCTCTCATTGGCTACAAAAAAAACGTTAGCCCAAGGACACGGACACGAAAGGTGAGCAGTCCTTGAAAGAAAAGTGAAAGCCCTACCACTAGAAAAAAAGCGCATCGGAGATGCACGAGGGCCAGGTTACGTGATTATCTTGACCGCATCGGACGATTGATAACAAAAGTGCATACATGGCTGTACTAACCGAGGTCTTTAATGCGGTATCGCCTGCGTCGACTCGTGTCGATGGGAGTGGCCTCGACGCAGCCAGGCGGGAAGAGTTGGGCAGCCTCCAGGCGCTTCCAATAGGCCGCGGCCGCAGCGGCAGTCACGTAAGCGGGACCTGGACGTTGCTGAAAAGGGCGAGGCTAAATAAAACACAAGTAGGACCACCTGGCCCCAAGCTTTTGCACACATTGTGATGCCGAAAGCGAAGAAAGTTGCGATTATAACCTGAATTTCGTGTAATCATGAAAATACAACCCCAAAAAGAACCCAAAGAACATTAAATCCTCCTCCAGTGCAATTGGTTTTAGCGTTCCCTCGCGCAAAATGTAGCAGCACCCGGCTTTAGGTGCATCGTTTCGGCATTTTATAAATATGTACGGGTATGCACGCGTTATAAATTGAGATTACCGCATTTTTTCGGCCTTGCAACCATGGCCGTGCAGAAGTTAGTGGGCACTGGGAAGATCCGAACTTTTGCGAACAATTATCTTATTATTAACTAATGCACTTAAAGGCATCCCGAAAAACTTACGTTCCCCCTTATGATTTCATTCTCGTTCCAATACTAACAAAAGTAAACGTGTTACACTTGAATAAGACAAAAACCATTACCAAAGTACCTTAATAGGTAACCTCGCCTTTCCAATAAGCCTAACCATTTCTGTGGAGGTGACCCAACCTCCGCTTGATTGCTGGTTGCATTTAAGCATAAATGCACACTAAACCACATGGTTAACACAAGTACTATTTGCCAGCATGTGTCGATCATTAGCCACAAGCGCATCTTAAAAAATACTCCTAGCTACTTCCCCTGACATGTACATAAAACATTTCGTTAAATACCAAATTTGTGATCCCGTATTTTTAATTCTTACATAATTTTCTCCTACTGTCTTGACTGCAAAAATTCCGGGAAATATTAATGAGTGAAAAAACGAATTAGTTAGACCTAAAGTAGAGCGAGGTACGGCCCTTAGAGCGGAACAGAATGCAAACTCTACATCTTGGAATACACTAGATTTTTAGTCACACGAGCTGCCGGTTTCGGGTTGTCAACGCACGCTAAAACCCCACTGTTTGCTAACCAGATATGGCTGCATTTGCTCATTTGTTTATGTGGCATGGCTCGTGCCTTTTTCCGAAGGTACAATGTCACGGCGTAGGGCCGGAGCGAAAAAACCGGCCCCCCTAAGCGAGCGCGATTGGATGCGCAAACCAATTGCATGCGAGAAGCGCGCACACGAACTAATGACTCACGGGAGTGTTGCAGTGTCCATTGGCTCCCTAAACGCCCAATCAGAACCGCAAATTAACACAAACGCGAGCGCACGCGCGCGCGCCTCGACCGATTCCACCGCGAACACGGTGGCGCTGGGCTCGCAGGCAAGTAAAGGGAAGTCCACAAATAAGAATTTAGTGGGGCTACCCGTTGGTTGTTTGAACAACCGGTAGGCTAGCTCTAGCGGTTTAATCCGAAAAAAAGATAGATCAATTCTATGTGGAACTTGGGGTTAAAACACCAACAAAAAATGCCACATCCCCGTGAAAAATGGCTAGCAACGTTCAACAAGACCTGACAATTCTGACAGTAAAAGTGTTACGGTGAATGGTGACAGGCGAACGTCAAGAAGAACGGTGTCAGTAGCGGTGTTCTCAACATCGACTCCAGTGAATCCCAGTACATGCGATTTCATGGCCATACACGACGGCGGGGGGCAAACCCATTATGAGGGCACGAGTGGACTAACAAGGAAATGCAAACACTATGAATTTGGCACTCACTTGTTGTACCATGCCAGGATGAGGGGATGGCTGTTGTGGCACCATCGAAGGGTGTCTGTGAGATGGTAGTGAGGTGTTAAGAGGAGGAGGTGGGGGTTGATTAGACGATACTTGTGGAGAGTATCCAGGAGCGCCAAACGGTGGCATCGGTCTCCCGGGGTGCTGCGGCGAGGGGCCGCCGCCCGGTCTCCCGCCCGGCTGAGAAGGCTGGTAGTGGGCTGTGAAGGAGGGCGGGGGCAGCGCGTGGTGTGGGAGGTGCTGGTTCATGTACGGGGGACCTCGCTGGTACATCATGGGCGGCGGGGGCGGAGGTTGTTGCTGGGGTGGATGGTGCACCGTATTGCCAGTGGGGGCCTTGGACGGCGGAATGACTGCGCCTTCGGGAGAGCCAGGCCGCATCCCCTCCATTGCTGCCATCGGATGACTGCCGCCACTAGCCGACGAGTGTGGGGCAGCAGGACGACCGTATGATTGAGGTGGTGGGTAGGGGTGCCGGCCCACCATTTCACCGTAGCCAGCTGAATCAAACAGAACAAAATTACAATTTTTTTTACAAACACGAACAACGGAGAACCTAGAACAGGACCCCGTGCAACCTACAGCTCCTGAACAAAAAGGAACATCTGGGAATACAACGGCGTCATGGTTTACCTCTAGTCGTAGCTGTAGTGGCGCTAGTGGCAGTCAGCGGGAGGACACGAATACAGTCGATTCAGTTTGATGCACTTCACATGGGAGCGATGTCAAGCGATCATACATAAATTGACAACTTTTTACCCTCAACAACCACGCTACTAGTCTTGCAATCAATCGGTTGAACTACGCGTCATCTGCGGTCTCCTCTCTTACCTTGCTGTGCCTTGTCAGTGCAGGGTAGAGACCACAACACGCTAAATATCAGGAGTTGGGGTTCAACACTGCACACTCATAAGATGTGGGGATGAGATCCAATTTAAAGAACCATAAGACGGCCCTCATAATGACAGAACATTACGACATCACGCCCGGATTGCAGCCTCATCACAAATGAAATCGAAGAAATACCCCGTTCTCATTACACCTGCTCTCACGACGTCTCTATCCCTGCACGGCATAAACGCAAGTCAACATATAGGTCAAGGGAAAGGTTGGTGAGCTAAACTTACGTCCAGGCATTCTGTGCTGAGGAGGATATCCAGGAGGTGGAAATGGAGGTCTCTGGTTTGGACTAGGAGAGGGTCTCCAAGGTCCACTCATAGGATAGCTAGCAGGGACTTGCTGTTGATGTTGCTGCTGCTGATGTTCCACAGTAGTTGGCGTCGACGTTGACGCGGAAGGAGCAGGTGTGTGGTACGGTGAAGCCCCGGCTGACGAGGATGCAGGCGAAGCAACACCAACAGGTGAACCCGGCCCTCCTGTCTTCGCTCCTTCTTCCGACACACCAGGAGCGCCGTTACTCGAGGGCTGCGGCAACAAATTAGATGAAGCCGAAGACTGACTGCCCGCGGGAGAAGGTGGAGGAAACGGCGTAGAGCTAGACGTCGACGATTCATTCATCTCCGAACCTGCTCCGCCCATCGAACCCACGGAAGGCTTCTTTTTCTTGCCAGACAACGTTTCAATCTGGGCTGCGACGACGCGCACGTCAGCACCGCCAGGTCCGTGGTCAAATCGACACTCATAATCCAGCAGGTACTTACAGTAGTTCTTTCGTAGTGTGTACGCTGCCGATGCGGAGGCATTTATGTTGAAAATTTGACTTATCTCTTTCCAGCGCTTCGTTTTAATGACTTCCAAAACGCCACCTCGTTCCCTCACGGCTAGGTAAAATCGATACAAGTCAAGTGGTTGCTTTACCACCTGGGGCAAACCAGTTAAGGGTTTATTGATTTCTTCCATAAAAAAGAAATAGTGCTCCAGCCACTGGCGGCGCTCGGGTTCGTAACCCATCTCCATGAGTCGTGAAAAACATGACGCCGATTGTGGGCTCAAGTTGGGAGGCGGAGCGATGGCGTGCATTGGCGTCGGTTGTGGAGGGTAGCCTCGGTGGTAAGGATACTGATGTGGAGGAGGTGGTGGACCAGCTTGTTGTGGATGACCGTAGGAGGATTGCGGATGAATTTGATGGTACATGGCAGTAGGCGGCATATCCCCTCCTGGATACGGCTGCTGAAGATGATGCTGCGGTAGATATTGTTGTTGGGGGAAATTTGGAGGGTAACCGGAATAGGCGTAAGCGCTCCCAGGTGGCGGACCGCGAGGGGGCATCCTGTGTGGTGTTACTGGGGGCCCTTGGCGATACATCGGATGGACGTGCTGCTGTTGTTGAACCATGTACTGGTGATGAGGCATTGCGTGTTGTAGGGGTGGTGGCTGTTGCTGTTGCTGCTGCTCATCGGCAGGTAGATCCTAAGTTAATTTAGCGAAGTTCAGTGATAGCCGAACCAGGACAAGGCTCGTATATTATTCACAAACAATAAACAAAAAAATTGTCACTTGTAAGATCGTGACCATTAAAACCCACCAAATGTGATGGCTTCAACCACTTCGTCAAAAACTGGCAACAAACTACATTGGATTGATTAAAAAAACGCGATGATAAGGCAGAAATTGCATTGCGGGAAGCAGGGTTTAGTCCCACACTTCCTTAGAAACTACAAAGGAGTACAACACACCTTCTTGGGCGACGGTGGAGGACCAGAACGCACCATCGATGGCGGATAGGGCGAAGATGTCGACGAAGATGGGCGCGATGGAGCATCACACGAAGACGAGGTCGGTGGCTGTTCACTTGGGCCAGACATTCGCGATGGCATACCCTCATCTACATACACACACACACGGAATCCACAATAAAGAAGTTACATAAAAGCAATGAGAGTTGAGGAACATAGCACAAACCTCTTGGTTCAGCCCTGTTTGGTGGCTGTGGCTGTTGCTGTTGGGGCGGAAACGAAGGTGGTTGTTGCTCCTGTTGAGAATTCGGAGATACGACGCCCTCGAGACCGCCTGTCGGTGGAGGCGGATAACGCATCGCCATGCCGCGAGGCGGAGGCGATACTCCGTTGGACATTGGCGGTTGGGAATACCCACTGCGCGTGTACATATCTGGCTGGTAAGGCCTCGGATAATTGGAGTGATCCGGCATCATGTAAGGTGGCATCTTCTGGTAATCAGCTGTCGGCGGATAGCCGCCCGATGCCGGAGGCGGAGGAGGAGGCATCATCGTGTAACCTCCAGGTGTCGGATAGCGAGACGATTGCGGAGGAGGAGGAGGGTAACGCTGTAGGGAATAAGGACCGTAGGGATCTTGACCGTATTCGGGCGGTGGGTAACCTGAGCGAGGTGGATAAACGCCGGGACTCATAACCCCCGGTCGTAGCGTTCCGGGGCCCATTCGGGTATCTTGAGGCATTCCTGAGCCATACCCAGGGAGAGGGGAAGGCCCTCCTGGGGGTCGGTTAGGCTGCGACTTCGGAACCGAGTCTATCTGTTGTTGATGTTCGGGTGGTGGTTGAAGAGGACTCCGCATTTCGGAGGCATTTTCCTGAGGCGTGTTGGCACGTGATGATCGTAATAAACCTTCCTGCGTATTGGGTTCCTTCATTGGAGGAGGCTAAAAGTGAAGGAGGCAGATCTGCACCCACCTGCGAGAGTATAGGCTGAAGCTTCGCCTCGCGCACGTACATGCACGCGCGCCCACGCAAAGCGCTAGCGTATGGAGAGGGGTGAACCAGTAAACTAATTGAAGCGTGATTCCTGTTAACTGAATTATTCGCTACATCAACGGTACCCCCGAAAAGTATATGCGACGTCGAATAAGAAAAGAAACGACCGTTAGCTAGACAGGAAATCGATGTCGCCAATATCCACTGGAATGGGCATGAAAGCCGAAGACTCGATGTGATTTAGACGTAAGCGGACCAAACAATAGTTTTTCCGGCATTCTCAGTCAGGTTTAAGGTGTACGTAAGCCAAAAACCACGAAAATGAAAATATAGAAAACCAAAAACTCATAGATGCCACATGGCTTCATTAATTTGGGAAACTACCGGACTGAGGAGAACCGTAGTAGTAAATAGAATTAAATAGAATACCTTCGAATTATAGGCTGATTGTTATCGCCAGTTAATACAATGATAACACACACCTCTAAGTGCACTTATCGCATTGTACGATGGTATGACAACCAATCTAATTAAAACTGATAATGGCTCAGGTTAAAAACTAAGCCCCATACAAATACAACTGAATCTTTTGCGCGTTTTACAAACCCGAAAAAACCAAAATTATGCACGACAAGGTACATACCTGGTTGCTTTCTTGATGATGAACAGGAACTCCGGGTTTCGACATATATCCATAGGGATCATACCGGTATCCACCAGTGTGGCTCATTGGTGACATCGCTCCCGGTACACGCGACGGCTGAGATCCTGGGGAATTGTTTTGTAAAAGCAGTTGGTTTAATGTTAAGGCCTGTCCATGACCTGGTTGACTGACAGACACGTTCGGTGCTGGCATTTCCGGTGGACACTCTTGGTTTGGATAAGGTTGATAAGGATGTCCGCGGAACTGATTCGGGCATTCAGCAGCGAATTGGGAACCATTAGAGGGTGCAGTTGAGTGAGGAACTGTGGGAGGAGGACTTGTCATGTAGCCTTGCTGGGCGCTCATTGAGCAGTTCCGTGGATTCTGATAACTCATATAATCCGTTGTTTTCAATTAAAGTTCAACAGCAATCGTAGTCATGTATGAAATCTCCATGAAATTAAAAATGTCGCTTCTCGGGGAAATTCGGAACTATGGGTGCCAGGTTAGAGTCCGAGCAACGGGAGATACGAAAAGCATATGGTAAAGCGTGGCATTACTGCTACGCCACACGTGATAAACTACAGCGACAGCACAGTGAATGCGACCAGTTTCTCGTTCGAGGGTTCATACACGGTACAAAGCTATTTGAAGCAGCTAGATGGCTAAGTTGCGGAGCCCAACAGCCTGTCAGAGGACCGCCTGCGGACAGATAACATAGATGTAGCTCACTCCTATATTTTGACTCACAACTACCATGTTATTTGATATCATTCGATAGTTTGTGCAAAGTTCTACGTAAATAAATGCAAATATTTACAGTTTACAGTAGCATTTTTTTATAATATAGAAAATATTAGTAATATAAACTCACAGTATAGTTAGATTAGAAAAATTTGTCTGGCACAACTACGCTATCAGTGAGCAAACGCGGTCGTTCGCTTTGCGTCGTTCAATTATTATAACTAGCATTTTAAGACATTTTTTTCGAGTTCATTAATTTTGTATAAATAAATTTGGCATAATATTGTTTAGTTTATAAAACTGTATTGTTTGTATATGAAAACATTATGATTAATTCCATTGTTCTTTAAAAAAATATATTTATTTCATTTTCCGTTTTTAGTCTCACGTCTCTTGACACAAACCAATAGTCGATTGAATCCATAGCAGAGGCTTATCGTTGTTGGCGTGGTGCATCCCGTCTGGCGTGAATCAGCCCTATGTGCCTAGCATACAACACTAAGACACAGGGCATCCTTGTTACAGCGTCGATCCCGGCTATGGTATTCGTGTGTAGCACTGTTCCATCCTTACTGCCTACTGATAGGTCGCTTTTATAAGTAGACAACAATTAATCTGAAGCTTGGGGTTGTATTTTTGACCGAATGTTACCTTTTTAAATTACATTTGGTCTTATTGATTATTTGAGCACAGTGACTACCAGGGATGCTTCCACTGAATCGATTAGAGGTCTGACACACCTAGCTGTTTTACATTTCCTGTAGTTATTATATATCAGCGGCTGAAGTATGCTCCCATATGGCGCTTCGGACACTCATTAATACGCAGTGTATTTCACATTCGGCGTGACGTTCATAATTTAGCCTGGCCCAAAAGGGAAGACATTGTGCTTAGTCTTGCACTGACGCCTACCCGGCTAAAATACCAAGCATCATAGATCACTTGATTGTCGCCGTAATTAAAAGTCCACACGATTGAGAGATGCAACGTGATTTATAGTTTCGACAACAAGGAATCGCTAGGCATACAACAACAGTTTATAGAAAATAAATGTAACGCGATAATTCATACATTGGCGATAATTTTTCAGAAATAGGAATAACTGGGAATCATCTGTTTCGAATTCAAATAGAAAAATTCAATTATGCACGAAAATGTCGTTTAAATAACAAAATTTAGGCAATTTTCACCATTCCCACATATCAGAAAATCCAACAGTCAAGCGATTTCTGTCTGGGAATTTCCTATTTCCAAAACCTTACGATTCCTTTAAGGTTCCATAGAGACAAAATGAAGAATGTGGGTTCAGCTCAAATAAAGGGAAAGGGGCAAGGGTAATTCAAGTTACCTTAGCCATCGGAAACCTACTAATGGTTTGAGAAACTTAATCTTGGTCGATTATTAGTTGTTTCAAATTGATTGATTGTGAGTAGTCACCACGGCCTCCCACTAAAAGGCAACTGAATTGTGTCAGCATTCAATATTTTTAGATAAACGATGATCTAGGATAGGTTTACGACGTATAAAATTTTGGATAAAAGGAATATTTTTTTTGTTCTTGTAGCCGAAGGTAATGAAATGAGGTGAAGTTCCTAGTCTAGTACGTCGACGATAGGTGGTTATTGTCGCTTAACTCCGGCAATCAATGACAATATTGTTCCGTCCACTACAACAATATTTGAAATCAACCTAAGTAAACGGTAGTGTAGGTTATCTTCTAAGTTGATCGTGCAGATTGGATGTGTTGGAATATGTTAGTTAAACCCACGTCACCAGCCACTCGTGATGATTGTCTGTCACGCTGAGTGCAGGGACCACTAGGGCATGAAACCATCAGCTGCTCGGCTCATGTCGACCACCCAAACACCGGTGGATCTGCAGCAGTACGACCTAGACCACAGCGCTACTCTGGTCACGCGAAGAATTCTGTCAATCTCAATTGAAGCCCTATTTCGCTGCGTCATTCGTCTTTGTGTCCGATCGCCTGCGGGCATCGGACAAGGTTAAAGTGATCAGATCGCGTGATTAAGGGGGAGTGCGCGTCACCCCCTTTCAACAAAAGCCTCCTTTTCGCTTCGCTTGTGTATACCCTAATCAAGGAGCACTATTCGTTGAATCCATTGCTCAGTTGAATGCACCATAGACGAGGTCCTACTACGAGGTGCAAGCTGTGACGAATCGGCTGACGATTTTCGACTCCTAAATTCCATTAAATGACGATTTTGTATGGGCTCGTTCAGTCATCCTGGACGCATTTGGTTTGCCTGGCTACCTTCCGTGAAACAACAGACAGACAGACATCAGAAGTTATTAAACCAACACAAAATGTGATTGGCATTACGGTAATTCAAACTGAGGCTTGTATTACTGGGTATTCCTACTACGCGAATGGCGTAACAACCACACAAATGTAGAGAAGTAGACGTTAATCATGAAAACTACGTCCCTCATTGCTCCCAATTCAGTTCCACTGTAGTTGATGGGTGTGAAAATGTTGACGATGCATGCAGGTGTATTTCACAAAAGGCCTGAGACTTTTGCCACATCCTGAAAAAAAACTCATGACGTTTATTTTAATTATTTACGTGTGCTTGATGTTCTTGACAATGAGTTGATCGATTTCACTTGATAAAACTAACTCAAATTTATCAAATATTGACTGTGTGAAATTTCTTGAAAACCGGTCTTACTTGGTAGCAGTATGTGTCAGGCGATTTGACAGACTAGGGGAAATAAGCGTACTCAACGGTGTAAAGTTAATAGGATTACGACATCTGGTTTGCCTTTTTTTTCGTGGCTTAAAGTGTAGTTTTGGTGTGAAGGTAACTCCCTGTGTTGAGTCACGTGGTCGCCTAGAATCAGACCACTTTGTCAGTTGAAGGAATCAATTCTACTAGATAGAGTAAGTAGTTACAATTTTAGAAGGATTCATAATTTGAGAGAGCTTGGAATGGAGAAGCTTGCGTTTGTCAATTCACATCTGTTCCACATTCCATAAAGTTGAACAGGGATAACTATGTCCTAATAGACCCCTAAAAAATAGTAGGAAAAAATGAAAAAATCCTGATTTCGATATTTTTGGAAATGAGTTTCTTCAGCAAAATTTAAATGTTGGTCGAAGGATTCGATGAAGGAGAAGCTCGTAACAAAAACAAAATTACTTAATCGAGTCATAATGTCATAAAAAAATATTAAATATTCGTAATTTTCCATCGGCTACTCTTCGACAATAACGAAATGCAATAGGTTTGAGAGTGCGCCGTGTCCCGAAGTACACCGGTGCAATTGAATCGAATCTGGCCGGAGTGGACGAGGACACAACCGGTTAATTTAGTGTTCAATCAATTTGGTCGAGTTATGCTGCTTCGTGGGTTGCGTTTGATCGTGTGAATTTATAGCTCAAAAAGCGTGAAACAACTTGATTCATAAATCAATCGCATCGAGACCCATATTAATGCACCAATGAGGTGTGAGTTGAGGTTCCGCTCAGCTGACGGCAAGCTGTGAAAAGGGGACAACTTGTCGGAGAATGGGGCGACCGGATTATCGAGTGAGAATCAACGCGATTCACTAGAGGATTTTGCAAGGATGACTACGTCCCTAAATACACATGGTCTCTGTACATGAGTAGCACATGTGTAGAATACCCGAGCCAGATTTCGAGAGAGGTCATGTGAAAAAATCCTTGAACATATACAACCTGGTGCGAGAGGTTTTTCCTCGTCAGGTTACCTGGCGAGGAATGCTTCTATCTGTCTGGTTAATTGACTGGACCAGTTCTTGACCGCCGAAATCCCCCGACGACCCATCCCCACCGTAAACGAATTCCCATCAAGCAGCTCAACCAAATTGGTGTGGTTGTATCACGCTTGCCATAATTTTCGGGTTGTTGGAAGTAATTTGAGAGGAATCGCTTTTGCCGACACAGCCTTTTATGCCATCAGCATATCTGAAATTTTGGTCCTGATGCCTGATCGCACGATCATTGAGGCCTTTGGATCTGGTTCAGAAACAGTGGTCATAATCGATCGAAAATATCTGCTGGACTAGGGTCAAAAGTCGAGGTCAGTGAAAGTCGGGAGATGTGGCCATTTCTTAAAAAAGAAGAGAGATTTTAGTAAAGGGACCAAGTTGTGAATTTAGTCGGTGGTAGGTGATGTGAATCGAAGGTCACCGCCCAGAAGTTATAGGAGCCATGTGTTTTAGCATGATTTGAAGAGTCTGTGGAGTCGAAAGATTTGGCTTCGTCCGCAGAATAAGAGGGCTCTGGAGATCGGGCGTCGTCCGGATGTGATTGTGACCAGAAATGAATCCTTGTTGGGCGAGGAGACGAAATCAAAGTAAAAGGTCTCCAAACGCCAGTACAGAAAATGGCAATACACGCCTAAGGTCGGCATTGCAATGAGTCCACGGTGACTTTGTCCTTTGATTATACCTTGTTTCTGTACGTTCCTCGTCACCACTATCACAATACGAAAGACCACAAATTTGAAGGAAACCAGTTGTGCATTGCATTGAGTCACACTCATTAATCCGGTCTCCCCATTCTCTGACACATTGCCACCCGTTTCATGACATGCTATCGGCCGAACGGAACAACGACTCAATCGTCATTAGTGCTAACGATCATCCTGAATTATCAGGAACTAAGACCAGGATTATTGATGTCCATAGCTCATTTTTTCAAATTGGTATTTCACTTATAATTTCTAACGGTTACTGTTCGAGATAATTCATAGAGATGCATGATACCATAGAGAAATATATTTTTTAAATCCATTGAATTGATCATTACTGTTTAGTGTGTCTCATACCTTGCGTCATGGTCTTAACCAATTTGCACTGTGTTATTGCTAGTAGCGAGTTGGTGCTAAATCATAATCCTCACAATTTACTTTTCTACGTAGAGGTGTATTCCTTTTCGTTATACAACAATACTGAATATCCACCACCATGTTTATTTATAAACTGGGTGCATAGAGCCTAAAGTACACGAACGTTATTCCCTCGAATCATTAATGTGAGCAGAACAATTAGACCATAATGCATTAAAAAAAGAGCTGGAAAATGAAGCTTCTGAATTTCGCCATTACAATAGTAAAAATGATTTATTTAATTACAATTTACCAGTTCGAATACACTTTAGGGTAGAAATTTTCTGTGACTTCAGAGTTTTGCACTCCTAAGTGTATATAACCATGAGTTTATCGACATACGGCAAATAATAATGATGCTCGCGTTTTTTAACCAGCATGAAATTTTTAAATTAATACATAAGAAGCATGCAATGATATCTATTCCTTAACGCTAACTTGGAGTTGGAATGTTAGATTTTATTCTAGGATTCCTGTAGTTGGAATTATCGGTATGACTAACTTCCGATATTAGTCTATTTTGATATAAATGCAGTGTCATTAAAATTCTTGGCAGTGGTATATATTTAACTTATCAAAAAAATAGAACATAAGAAACAAGTTAATTTAAGTCAACATCGATTATGCGATTTATTTATCATTTCCATATCTAGTTGTTTAAAAAATCCCATACATAGAAATGCCGAAGGCAGCATATACATATATGCTTTCAATTATAAAACCTATTAAACATTAATGAAATGCCCCAAAAGGAAATTTCTTTATCGCTATCATATCATATTTGATGAATTTAATAGAATGAATTTGGCTACACCTTATATTTACAAGTTCGTAATATTATGAATCATTAGGTTTGGAATAGCATGCAATGTATATACATATATATGTATATATATACAAACCAACAGTAAGAATCATGCAACTTTTCAGGATTTCTAATGTGGTTATAGTAAGAATTTTTAGGTGTCTTCATTAATCTTCACGAAATTTTGTCATTAGTTAGTTTAAAATGTTTTCTTCCATATATTGACCGAAATTTAAGTCATCTGTGAATTAAACACCGAGAGATTTACTTCTTGTATATGATGCAATTTAATGCGAATTCTTCAAGTCTACCTTCAGAATAACTAATATTTGTTATTAACTACTCCTTATTCGTGTGTGTTTATGGTTTGCTACATCTCTTCCTCGCAGGTTATTCAAACGCAGACAGAGGATTGACTGATGCTTGCGTAGTGTAATGTCAGCGTCCAAAAACCATTTTTCGTTACAGTAGGGTGAAGAGGACTAGTTCAACAGGTCAGACTATATTGACCAACCACAAGTCAGATCCACACGTCAGGCGCCTGCCATCCGAGTGACCGACACTGGCCACGCCGCTCCTTATATACTGCACCTCATTTGTGTCATTCTGTGGTTGGCTACTTATCTTTCTCGCATGCCATTAGAACACAGAGAGACACAGGATTGGCGGCGGCCAGGTGGTCCAACATGTCTGCGCCCTGATCCGACGCCACTGTAGAATACCCGAGCCCTAATAGGTAAAAGACCGGTACAACAGAACAGCCTTTATTGACCAATCAGAAGCCAGAGCCACGCGTCAGGCGCCTTCCATCCGAGTCCACCACGCTGGCCACGCCGCTCCTTATATACTGCACCTCAGTTGTGTCCTTCTCTGGTTGGCTGCTTATCTTTCTCGCACGCCATTGGAACGCAGAAAGACACGGGATTATCTGAGGCCAGGTGGTCCAACATGTCTGCGCCCCAATCCGACGCCACACCACAGGGTATATAAACTTCGCCACCGTACTACAGTGCACCTCGTGTCTGCGAGTTTCCAATTAGGTGGTTGTTCATCTTGTGTTCGCAAATATGGACGAAAAAGAACTCGACCAAATTTCTCGAGATCCAAGGTTTGCGGGAAGATTAAAAAAGAAAACGAAACAGGAAAAAGAAGCATTTAAAAGTTTATTTGAAGGAATTGAAGATGAGGAAACATATAAGGACAAGAGGGGGCGTCCTTGGTCAAAGCGCCCCTTAAAATATGCGAAACAGTTAGTTCATAAAGAGGAGGAAAGTGACGAAGAAGAGGAGTCTTCATCAACGGAGGAAGCGTCTTTAAGCAGTGACATTTCTTCGTCAGCAGGGGAAGACGTTGAGGAAAATCTAGTTGATTTACAAGGTTCGTCATTTTGAGCTGCCTCAAGCTAATTAGAATGGCTTTCCCTAAATTACAGTGATACATTTTCGTATTCCCGAATTTCAGACGCGGATTGGTACGCCTTGGTTAAGGACGTTAAAGAAGTCGAGGAGTCAACACGTCGCCTTGCAGTTCTTCACTTCGATTGGGATAATTCTAACGCAGAGACTATATTCTTGGCTCTGGAGTCATTCCTCCCTCCTGGTGCCTGCCTTGAGAAAGTAACTGTAAGTTGTATGTACTTATCCATCGCCATCATTCCGACCTGATTTTCGATATACGCTAGGATTATTTAGATTCACATACTTCTAATATTTTCGTCGGGAAAAATTCGAATAATCTGAGGTGCCAATTATCCGTTTTATTTAAAAAAAGCCTTGTTGTAAAAAACTTCAAATAGACGTTACTTCAACTATCGCACTGTCTTGAAATGAGCAACTTAGAGCAGTCAATTACGCTCTGAAATTACAAAAAAAGCAGTGATATCACCAATCTTTGGTATTTTTTGTGTCGGAAAGTGATTGTTTATAAGTGTACGTTTGGCGCACCTTAGTTTCCTGTTGTTTTCTTCCGACCTACATTGCTGCCATCGAATTTGCTACGATTGGGCTTAACTTTTTGTACATACCTTCCAGATTTACCCTTCGGATTACGGTATGCGAAAGATGGCAGAGGAGGAACAACACGGTCCTCGCGCAATCTGGGAAAAAGGCAGTAGCTCGTCCGATGAGGATTTTGCAAAGCACGAAGAAGGAAATCATCTCGCCGCCGATGTTGAAGGTGACGAAAAAAAGGCCTGGAAGGCAACGTCAGTGCAGCTCAGGCGTCGCCTTCGGAAGTATCAGCTGCAACGACTGAAATACTTTTACGCGATTGCTGAGTTTGACTCAAAGGAGACAGCATCAACTGTCTATGAGGCCTGTGACGGTGTGGAGTATGCTAGCACTGGGATTAGATTTGATCTCAGATTTGTCAATGATGACGAAACATTTTCTGTAAGTTTTCTACCAGCAACCGTTGCCTCAGCCCCGCTTGTGATTTTCCTGACCGTTTTCATATTATCAGTCTTTAGTGCTCACATACCCTATCCTGACAACTTCATTTTTGTCGACCGTGACAAAATGTCCATTCCTGGGAACATTTTTAAATGCTGTGTTCGTAATTGATGCACTGATGTGTTTAACAGTAATCACAACGCAAGTCCGAAAACTTATTCAGTAATAATGAAAAGCCGTTTGCATGCCTTGTCCGAGTGGTTAGTTTTGGAGCTTCTTTTGCCACAATGGATATTCGGTCGTTTTCGTTGAGTTATCTGTGGTAGGGATGTGGCTTTTCAAGCGATGCGGGAATCTTACCTGCACCACCAATGTAATTAGGTGTAAAATGTTGCGCACCAGGGCCTTTCAGTAGTGGTGATTTTTTGGCTTTGCTTACGTAAAACCTGTAGAGGTTTGTACCAATCTCCTCTTTCGCAGGAATGTTAACGAATAATGTTCATTTGGTGAAATCGCCAAGCTATTCCGTTTTCAGGGTTGTGCATCTGGAATTCTTCACCTCACAATGCCCCATTAGATGGTGTAGTCTTATTAAACATGTGTTTGCGTCTGTCAATGTGTTGAAACATGGACGAGTTTAATGAGACCTTTTGACGTCCATTTATGCTGTTTCATTCCCAGGCGATAGAAACAAAGTGTTGTCCTTTCGGTATCCCTAAATTTGCTCTGCAAATGCACAATTTCATAGTATTATTGTTGTGATGGCATGGAAGGGTTTATTGGGAGATTTGTGTCCGTCGAGGCCATAGCAGGCAGCCATCAGGTTGAAGTATTGTTTTTTTGGAGTAGCCGACGTAGCGTTTTGAATCGCCTCTCTCGCCTGACGATGCCAAAAGTTGAGGAGCTGATTGTGTGTTGGAGTTTTTGAGTCTTGACGTGAACCACTCGTTTTATTTGCTTTGCGGTGCATTAGACCGGGCTTCCAAACTCTTTACATTGTACCCAGGTACCCAGCGAATGGTCTCACCTAGTAAGTGAGTGCTCCGAGGTAAATCGGGCAAAGTACAAGCCGCACGCCTTTGAGAACTCTGCCCTTCACTCGACTAGAATCACCCTTGGCTGGGATCGCACTCCAGCCGCACGAACTCTGTGGCTCCGCGAACAGTTTGAAGCCGACGCGGATCCTCGTAAATTACTGACCGAGGGAAAGGTTCAGGCAAGTGCCAAATGATCTTGGCTTTTTAATTTACAGGTCTACCAAAACGTCACGTAATTAATCGAAAGTATCGGGGGGGCCCTTTGGCACACAAAAAACCATACTTTTGTCAGTTTGTTGGTTTAAATAGCAAGAATTTTCCGAGATTTCGTCAGATGCGTGATCTAAGTACGGGGACCACCTGCGTATGAAGCTGTGGTACTCCAGCTGTAATGACATCTTCGTGTTTTGTCAGTTGCACATAAGTTGATGCCTTGTTTCTTGACTAACTCGATGATGGAAGTCTTGGTTTAGCTTATGGCCAGGACGGATGTTTTTTCCCGTTTATGCTTGGCTTTTCGTGACCTCATTTCCATCTGCCAAGAAGTAGGCTATTTGCGTCACGTGTCCACGTTTCACTGCCTGTTTTTTTTTCAGCTGAAAGAGTACCTAGCTCTGTCGTCGAGCGGTCAGAGCACGGCTGCTCCCTCCGACGTGGACGAGCCGGGCCCTGCGCCAACCGTTCCGCGAATCAGACGCCACCGACCGCCAAAAGTGCCTCCTGACCAGCTGAGAGCGGCCCTTCTTTCAGCCATCTCAGAAGATGGTGGTGGTAAAAACGAAGGCGATGGAAACGATGAGGTTTGTCCAATGCACCATGTGTTGATTTTGTCTTTGCTGGATGATAAAGGGATATTGTTTCCACCATTGAGGTTACGGATTCAAATCACGGGGTCTTATCACACTAACAGTAGCTGAATCAAGGTAGCGAAGGGATTACCTTGTCTTTGTTTTACATTCTACCCACAGGAGCCAAGTGATTAAGCGCTCTATTCTGGCGCTCTAGCGTCGACTCAGTTCAAAGCATTCCCTAATTCTTCCCAAATGTAACATGGACACACCCACCAAAAAAGAAACTAATTAATGACTAAGGTGATTGGCCAGAATGTGGCAGTCAGCTTACTCACCAGCTGGATTACCTTTTATTATCATTTGTTTAAATGCAACGATGATGCGTTTGCTCTAGCGTATTTCCAACTTGTTTCCATTAAATAATTGTTTTCAAGCATAACTGCTTCGGTGTTTGGTCGTCAGACTGCATGGTTTCAGTTGGACGAAAGATCAAAAGGGTTACATTAAATGAGGTTGAGAAAGTTTTGTAACTATAACTAGGCATGTCAAAAATGCGCCTCATTTTTCCCAGAGCGTGTTGCATGCCATCTTTATCGCCTTGTGGCGCCCTTATACACATAGAGGAGAATTAATTCGTAAAAAATTATGACACTGGTATGTTAGTGATGTTTATTTGTATGTTACTTCTACAGCAAAATATCCAATCGCTTTAGTTTCTCCGAAACTTCTAATTTACTCAGGTTGTCGGCTGTCGGTTCGTTCCACCATACTTCAGCAAGATTAATTAATCTATTTGGAGCTGGTTGTAGGTGTTGTCGAGCGCACTTTCTAGCCTATCTGTGCTCATAGTAGTCAATTCGGCGTTCCGTTAATCACCTGCGAAATTCCAGTCACTGGTCTATGTGGGGAAATGCAGTCGGTGACTTCGTGCTCCTTTTCACGGTTTGTAGGAACAAGGTGACGAAGACGAGGAATCGGAAGACGAAGAAGTAGAGGACCTGAATGCGGATGGTGTCTCCTCTGCATCTGAAGACGAGCAGTACGACCTCACGGCGGAAAACGAGGAAGGTGGGAGTGCGCGGAGGGGCCCTTCTGCACTCCTTCTTGGTCGTGGCGGGCGCAAAGCAGTGCTCAAGCGCCGGCTTCCCGAGGCCGAGGACTCCGACTCGAGTCTCGACTTCGACGACATGGAGGATCGTGTCTCCGACGCCAGTGGCAGTGATGATGGCGGAAGGAAAAAGAATAGTAGTCGTCGACGACGGGAGGACGCAAACGACGCCGATGCCAATGACACCTCGAAGAGGCTGGCAAAGAAAAAAACTAAATTGGCCCTGGTATGTAGGAATTTGTTTCGTGGGCTTTTTTGTGTTGCTAAGTTGATACGTACGTGATTTGCGGCTCCTCAATTAAAAACACACCTGTTTTCTATTGGTCCTTTTCTTACCCAATCATAGTTGACTTCGAAAATGCAATAGTGAGTAACCAGAGCCTGAACGTTTTTTTGTGGACTAAACCATTTGAAGGGAAACTCGTAAGAGGTCCTCGTGCTAACACCCTTAAATCACTCGGTAACATTTTGTCGTGTTATTTCCGTGTAAACCTTTGTTTTACTACACTGGTTTTGTTAGAACACTCTTCAAAATGTACAATGGTGGTATGAGCTTTGTTTTGTTGCAAACATTTGCCATTTACTCTACTTATTGTCGCAATATTTATTGCTTAGGTTAACCGCAATATAAATCCACATTACCGGATTGTCTTTGCTGTTCCATCCACTGTTGCTTATGCTGGTGTTATTTGCATGCACACACTTTGTCAATTTTTCATCATCTGTTTTACTTTCTGCCTTTTCAGAGGAAGAAAATACAGATGAAAAAGAAGAAACAGGAGCGCAACCAGGAGAGATTGAAGGACGTGGTAATTTTCACACACACAGAGTTTTTAGCCCCTTTAAGGGGAATTGCTTTCGCCACAGCTAACTGTGTGCTTTGCTTTGCTTTTTCAGTGGACAGGCGCTAACGAGGCGGATTCGCGGTTCGACGCCTTTCTGACGGATCCGGCGTTCGGCGTGAACCAGATGCACCGGAGCTACCGGGAGGCGACGGAGTTCCTCAACTTCATGCGGCGGCGTCGTGCACCGCTGAGGAAAGTCGAGTAGCCGCCCGCCGGGGATAACCGTGCTCCTGTACAGACCGTCTTACTTTTCTTTATCCCACAGTGCTCTGTAACTAGTTTTGTACAGACGATTAAGTGCCCACCAAATGACAAGGGGAGGCGTGTTTTTTTGGAAATGAAGGAATAACAGGTTATCGTTGCCAGCTTTAACTCGTTTTACAACGCTTTCATGCGTTAGGATTCTAGGCCTTGGGTTTAAAGACCTCTGAATTGTCCACTGGAGAAAGTGGTGTTGTGAAACGTGTTTATTCACACCTCTTAATCTGGTCGCTCCACCTCCGACACTGGGTTCCCCTTTTCGCAGCATGTCGCCAGCCGCGCGGATCCTAAGCTCCCCTCTCGTTCGCACAAATATTTATCTTGGATTATCCTCACACTTGAGTCTCGGTGTTAGCGCATGTATGACTCACACATCCGAGTTATGAATGCACACGCGCAAACCCCACACACGACACAACGACACCAACGTGGTTGATCTCGGAGGTAGACGGGGGTGTCCATGTCCCCTACGATCTTTTTCTTCATCACGGGTACCAGACATTCGTAATCGGATCGGAGTTAAATCAGCGGCCCCGTCGTGGGTCAAGACCGCGTGCTGGCGCCCACAACAGTGGTTTCATCTTGTTTTCGTGCATTACGCGTCGTTGAGGATCGCTAATTTCAACTGGGCAGGTGTTTACGGCTACTGGAGTTCAGGGTTTAGTTTACTTGACTCCTTGGCATTAGTCAAAATGTATTGGTCGGTGAGTTCACGCAGAAAATTCCGGTCAGGTCTCGTCACTCTGGCGTCCTTTATTAGTCCCCGTATTTGTCCGACCAGAAGACGATTTTTCTTGTTTGGCAACCGTGTGAGACCACATTTGCATAAGAAAACCTTATTAAATTATAAAGAGCTAAATTGATGTAACAATGCATCAACCTAATACTTGGGGATTTCGTGCTGTTGTCACAAGTGAACCATGGGATCATAGGAGGGCTGTGTCCGCGCTGCCGATATTGGGACTACTAACGGTCCACTAGTAGTAGTGTTATTTAGGTCAGGTCGACTATCCGCATGCACAATCGCTCGGTAGCCGACGCAAATAAAACGTACATTTCCTTCAAAAGAAACGCCTTGTAACTGGTTGCATCAAGGTCATTTTAAACTGTAAATAAATATCAGTAAGTAAATTCATGGCCACAACTAGCATTCTCTGATGCTACGTCGGCAAAACCTCCATCTGTGAAGTTTGCACCATCCGCTTGCTCGTTTTCTTCCGAACTGCAGGAGCCAGAATGAATTTGTAAGCCCGTTTTAACCAGGGTGACTTGAAAATTTCATCACAAATAGCCCTAAACCTTGGGTTAAAATTGGCATTATCAAAATGGGGAAATGCTTACGGTGCAAGCACTTAGTTACGGTTCGGTGGAGAGCTGATTTAGCACCCTAGTGATTGCGTGTTACAGTGTCTCTTAAATTGGGCGGCAAATCAAAATACCCCCGCCCAAAACAAATGGGGTTTATGGGTGTAAGTACTGATGCGGCGTCGCTGCCAGCTATTGTGACTAACGGAAGTCTACACTTAAGTGCCCACTTTACACAAGATGTCCTAATTTAACTATTGGGCGTTGTACCGACCCTTAAATTTTATGAAATCGTCGCAGGCAACATGAGATTCGCCCTTTAGTGCCATTGGTCAGGCACTAAAACGAACAGGATGTTGTCACAAACCACAGCACCTAATGGCCAACCGCATATATGTGCCGATGTGTCAGTTAATTAGTCAAGTGCGGTTGCAAACACTTTGGCTAAATTTACTCCGTTTTCGACAATAGTCCGGCCTGTGGTATTTATAAACGGGAGGGACGCTTCGGTGAGTTGAAAAGGACCATTCAATTTACGGTAGAGCCAATTAGAGGTACCGGAGATTAATGGCCTAACAACAGCCCTAAGCCCACTCCCATTCACATCCACGGTACACACCCATCTAATTCAGTCAGGTAGGCTTGTACAGGACATAAACGAATGTAAGGCATGACACCTACCGGTTATACTCGTAAATATGACTTAATTTGTACAAATTTTTCAGCAAATTTACTTAGTTCAGCAAATAGGAAGCAACGAAGTTAGTCTTGGAAATATCGTCCATTGTTTTCTGCGCTCTTGGGCCATCCTTCGAATAGCGCATGAATGCCGTCGAAAAAGTAAAAATGCAGGCTTCGAGACATAAAGCCATCCACGAATTTGGGCGTTTTAAACTAAGACGTGCCGCTGCATTGGCCGCAACAAATGATAGTCGGATGGGGCCAAATCTGATGAATACGCCGTGTGTGGGAGAACTTCCCATACCAACTTAAAGAGGGCCCTGTGAGTCGCGCGAGCAACGTAAGATGGTTGTGTGTTGGCATGCAGCAACCTTATGCTTATACTTTGCACTGTAAATGGTCTTTTCTGGTCGAGTTCTTCGCTCAGTTTGTTCAATTGTCGGCTGCAGCGCTACAAAGTCACCGTCTACCCTGTTTCCAGGACTTCTTAGTAAAGCACACCCTTCATGTTCACCAGATCTACAGGAGAACCTTCTCCAAGTGGATTTCCTGCTTTGGCGTCGATGTACTGGGTTGCCCGGGTTCGCCTCACGACTTGTTGTGAACCGTGTTTATTCACACCCCTTAATTCGGTCGCTCCATCCTCTGACACAGGGTTCCCCTTTTCGCAGCATGTCGCCAGCCGCGCAGATCGCCAACTCCCCCCTCATTCACACTGCTTTTTTTTCTTGGATTATCCTCACACCTAGGTCTTAATGTCAGCGCATCTATGACTCACACATCCGAGCTGTAAATACACACGCGCAAATCCCACACACGACAAAAACGTGGTTGAGCCCTGAAGTAAACGATTTTGTCCACGTTCGCTCCGGTCTTCTTATCGCGGGTATTAGGCAAGCGTAATCGGACCAGGGTTAATTCCGTGGCCCCGGCGTGGTTCAAGACCACATGCTGGGGCCCACAACAGACTTTCCACGGTTGGGATTCTCATAAAAATACACTTTCCATCACGCGTCATAATGATCCACAAGAAGTCCCTTTTTGTTGCCGGTGGGCAAGCAGTGAAAGGCACGTGTTCATGCGTTGACCTAGGAGGTTGTGTTCGGTCAGTACATGTGAAAGAACCCAACTCCGAAGCTCTTAATTTTCCCATCTTGTGCAAACGCTTGAAAAGTAGGTGTCTGGGTGACTCCTATCTGAGCCGTAATCTCCAGTGTACCCTGCAATTCCAGCATCTTCAAGCACTCGAGGCTGCCTGGGGCGCAGCTGGTCGCTAAAATCGAAACCACCACGTTTGTACCAGTAATCACACGTTTCACAAAACACAATGTCGGCACCAAGAACACAACAAATTGATTTCCGTGCTTTGGAAGCATTTTTCCCCCAGTAAAATGCAGTGCCATCGAATGTGCCACTTGTCAGTCGCCATCGTAAACTCGACTATTTTGAGGGACCCTGTAACTCACGCAGACTTGCCGTTCAGTGCTCTGGAATCTTACGTCCGAACCTTTAAAAACCACAAAAATATATTTTAAATACGGTTTTAAGCCAAAAGAAAAAAATCTGTATAGATAAAGTTATACAACCATTATCTGAACAAATATTATTCCGACTCATTTGTTCAAGTTTGGAGGTTGACTTAAGTTGGAAAAAATGACGTGTTGTTCGTTTTCACGTCAGCTTTACCGTACGATATTGGTGGACTGCTGTGGACGCATTCAATCGACTGAGGCGTCAATCTGGAGGCAACAAAACCTATATTGGTACTGGTTCCCAGTTGACAAACTTTACACGTGTCACTCGAGGTCCGCTTTCAAAAAAAGTGCTAAAATTCCACGAAAGAGGCTTCTCCAGGCCTCGGTGTAAATGAGTGAGGCAAGGCTGGCGTCCATCTGCTCCACCTTGCGCGAAGTCCCGCTAAACACCAGGGGCGCAGAGAGGATTAAGGGTGGGGGACACTTCTCATTGAGCAGGAAATAACGACCGCTGCAGGACCAAAGACATCGCCATTCGGGGGCAGGGCAAGCTTGAACAGTGTGCGCGGCACCGCCTCAGCCGAAATGACCCGGAACGATCATCGTTCAACCGAGGAATCTTCAGGCGCCGGAGGAAGTGGAATTCAGAGTTGCAGAGCGTTAGCAGTATTCAAAGAACCAGCCAGAGTAGAACATGCGGTTTCGTAGACTCGCAACAATGGTCAAGTGAACGTTATGCTTCAGATGGTGAACCGATGGTCCTCCACCTCTGATAAGTGGCCAACACGCAAGGACACACGCTTTGCAAATCTGGGGAAGGGGCGTCCTTGACAACGTGAAGCAACCAATGGTCAAAGCTTCTCGCACGGCTTAACTGACCTAGAGAGCAACCATGTGAGGAATATGCGTTTTATTTTAACAGTAAAATTACATGAAAACACATTGATTGTTTTTACATAAAAACAATATGTCGACGTTGAGGAAATGTGCAAGTCAAAAAAGGTACTTAATCAATGATCAACTGGGAGGATGGTGGTGGGGCCGATGAGACGTCAGCCAAATCACCGACGCCCAGGCACAAAGCAGCCGACCATCTGAAGAAGCGCGTTCATTTATATTCACAGGAAAAAAACTCTCCCCCACCAAACACAAGGCAACCCCCAACAGTGAACTTGCAAGAGCATTTGATAAAAAGTAAAATGCGAAGAATGAGGCGTCGGTGTAGGACAATAAAAAAGAGAATAAGACGAAGTGAATCTGTGGAGGAAACCGCATAAAACACGCACACAAATGCACGCAAAAGCAGGAACACGACAACCGCACAAGTTAGGCTGGTCTCTCTATACAACGGA